GCACGCACACACGCACAAACACTCACACACCACACCACGATGAGGCGGACTACTCTCTGTTCGCTGGTCGCCGTCATCATGGTCGTCTGCTACTACGGCACCGTCAGCGGTCAACAGTCTCAACACTGCGACTCTGGGCTCGTACGCTGCCGGGACGGCACATGTCAGTTCAGTCAGTACGAATGCGGACGCACCGCACACGAATGCTCAGGATTCCTGTGCGCCAACGGAGACTGCGTCAGCCACGGCGAGCGCTGCAACGGACGGGTGAGTGTCGCTGCAACGACGACGACGATGACGATGACGACAACGGCGACGATGACGATGACGACAACGGCGACGATGACGTTGACGACTACGGTGACAATGACGTTGACGATGACGGCAACGGCGACGATGACGGTGACGATGACAACAACGGCGACGATGACGTTGACGATGAAGTGGGGTATATTAACAATGCTGTAACGGATGGCGATGACCACGGTGACGACAACGGTGACGATGACAACAACGGTGACGATGACGACCACGGCGCCGATGACCACCACATTGACGACTACGGTGACAATGACGTTGACGATAGCGCGACACTGACAAGTGATGACATTCACAATATAACGGTGGTGAGATTGACACTGGCGACGGCGATGGTGTCACCGATGATGGTCAGGGTGACCATGATGATAGTGAGGGTGACCAGGATGATGGTGAGGGTGACCATGATGATAGTGAGGGTGACCAGGATGATGGTGACACTAGTGATGGCAACAGCAACACTGACAATAGTGAGTGGGACACTGGTAAGGCTGTGGGCGTCACCGACACACTGACGTTTGTGAGGGGAACGCTGACTATAGCGACACTTATCGACCTATAGATATCATGCCATAGACGCGCCCGCTACGTCAATAACGCACACACTTCCAGACGTAACACACATACACACGCACGCACGCACGCGCGCACCACACCCCACACACGCTCCCGTCCGTCACACTAACCGCGCGCTTTCTCGCGACAGACGGACTGCTCGGACGGCAGCGACGAGCGCCACTGCTCGAACATCAACCCGCGCTGCTCCGACTACCAGTGCAAGAGCGGGCAGTGCGTGTCGCGCGCCGCCCAGTGCGACGGCACCGACGACTGTCCGGACGGCGACGACGAGATCGGCTGCAGCAACCTGGACTTCCACTGCCACGGCTACCGCTGCGGCAGCGGCCAGTGCCTGCCGAGCGGGTCGGCGCGCTGCAACGGCCGACGCGACTGCATCGACGGCAGTGACGAGGCCGGCTGCATGCTGCACGTCAGCTGCGGCGGGTTCAGCTGCGACGGCGGCGGCCGCTGCCTGAGCGACGAGAAGGTCTGCGACGGACGGCTGCACTGTCGCGACGGCGCCGACGAGCGCGACTGCAACAAGAAGCCGCGCGTCGTCTACAACGCAGCCGCGGCGCCGTCTGGCGGGCTGGGGCTCGCTGTCGCCGTGGCAACCGTCACCACCGCGTTCTTGTGAGAACGATTTTCTTGCATTGTTGTCGTACGATTAGGAGTTGATCGATTGTTGTACGGTTAGATCGATTTTTTGTGCATTCGATTATTTAAGATGATTTACGTGATAATTTTGTTTACTATTAATGTTCATCGAGATATAATACAGTATTATTATGTGCCCGTTTTTTTGTAAATTCAACGAGGCAAATACTAGGAAATAACAAATCGGTTTAATGCCACTCATGATATGTTTGATTGTCCCAACTACGATATGTTTGATTGTCCCAACTACGATATGTTTGATTGTCCCAATTACGATGTTTTTTGATATAATCGTTTGACGATAATCGTGATATGATAATTTTTTCAATGTATAAACGAAGATTGTACACACGTACACACGTACACACGTACAATGTGAATTTTGTGCACGTATAGGTAGGTTAGTACATGCATATATATAATGTGTGGTGTGTATGTATATTAGCAGGTTTGTAACACATACATCGTGTGCTGTGTGTATGTATACTACGGTTTGTATATACACGCTGCGTGCGTGCGTGCGTGCGTGCGCGTGTATAGCAGAGTTGACGCGCACGTCTGTTGTTATATGTGCGCATATCTTGCGCGCGCACAGATGAGGCAATACGATGCAACGTGTTTTGACTATATAAGCATAGCCTGCGGGCTGCTACTATACTCACAGAGCCTATCATCCTAACACATAAACCCATCGCGTGATCACCAAGTTATGATCGGTCGTGACAAAGAAGAGGGCGGCCGTTGGAAACGCGCCCAGTCACAGTCTGTTAGACACAAGATATTTAAACTTCATACGCGCGATCACATGTATATATAATATTATATATAATATCGTATATAATATCGGCCTCGCCCCATCACCGCCACCGACCAACACACGAGCTGTTGGCTCTGTTTAGGATGTAAAGTGGGTGAGAGAGAGAGAGAGCGCGCGAGAGAGAGAGAGAGAGAGAGAGAGAGAGAGAGAGAGAGAGA